GTTATTAATCCGAACGGGTCATCCTCGAACTTGTAACTGTCGTCACTTTTGGGCTCCTGAGGCCTGAGTATGGGAGTATCAGGCGGGAGCCTTGTCTGTGAGTAAATTCAAAGAGGTCTCCGGCGGGAATGACCTTCATATGGGGCCCGCAAATCATGTTATTGATCCGAGGAGGTCGCCAAAATATTGTAAATGTGTTAACTTTTCAGCTTCTGGGGCCTGAGACACTACGAGGACATCTAAAGCGGGAGCGCCCTCCCTATGGGGCCCGCGGATCACGTTGGTAATCCGAGCGGGTCATCCTCGAACATGTAACCGTCGTCTCTTTTGGGCTCCTGACTCTTGAAAATGGGGAAATATCAGGCGAAAGCCTCGTCTGTGAGTGAATTGCGAAGAGGTCTCAGGCAGGAGCCCCCTCCCTATGGGGCCCGCGAATCATGTTACTAATCCGAACGGGTCATCCAGACCTTGTAACTGTCGTCGCCTTTGGGCTCCTGAGGCCTGAATATGGGGGAAGTATCCAGCGGAAGCCGTGTCTCTGACTGAACTGTGAGGAAGCCTCGGGCGGGAACCCCTTCCCTATGGGGCCCGCATTCTATGTTGGTAATCCGAACGGGTCATCCTCGAACCTGTAGCTGCCGTCACTTTGGAGCTCCTGAAGCCTGAGTATGGGGGAAGTATGAGGCGGGAGCCTCGTCTGTGAGTGAACTGTGAAGAAGTCTAAAGCGGGAGCACCCTCCCTATGGGGCCTGTATTTCATGCTGGTAATCTGAGCGGGTCATCCTCGAACCCGTAACTGTCGTCACCGAGGCCTGAATATGAGGGAAGCATCAGGCGGGAACCTCGTCTGTGAGTGAACTGTGAGGAAGTCTCAGGCGGGAGCCCCCTCCCTATGGGGCCCGCAGTTCACGTTGGTAATCCGAGCGTGTCATCCTCGAACCTGTAGCTGTCGTCACTTTGGGGCTCCTGAAGCTTGAATTTGGGGGATGCATCAGGCGGGAGCCTCGTCTGTGAGTGAACTGTGAGGAAGGCTCAGGCGGGAACCCCCGTCCCTATGGGGCCCGCAACTCTCATGTTTCCTCCGGGTCGTCCTCCGGCGCGCGCTTCCTTTGGGTCGTCCTCCGGCGCGTATTCGCCGGGACGCACGTCGTGCGTTTCCTCTGGGTCGTGTTCCGCACGAGGAGGAAGAAGGAGGAGGAAGGAGGATGCAGGACGAGAACGAGAAACACGAGGAGGAGGAGGAGGAGGAGGAGGAGGAGGAGAAGGAGGAAGCAGAGGGCGAGAAGGACGAGGAGGACATGGAGGAAGAGGAAAGCCCTAGGAGGCCCCAGGATTTCCCGGGAGGCCTAGAAGGCTCCAGGAGGCCCCAAGAGTCCCCAGGAGGAGGCAGGAAGCCTAAGGAGGAGGCAGGAGGAGGGGGAGGCGGAGGAGGAGGGGGGGGAAAATGGAGACGAGGAGGCAGAGGAGGCAGAGGAGGGAGAGGGAGAAGAGGAAGATGGAGAGGGGAGGCGGAGGAGGAGGAGGAGGAGGAGGAGGAGGAGGAGGAGGAGGAGGAGGAGGAGGAGGAGGAGGACGAGGAGGAGAAGGAGGAGGAGGAGGGAGAAGGAAAGCAGCAGGAGGAGGAGGAGGACGCAGGAGGTAGGAGGAGCATGGGGAATGGGGGGAGGAGGCATAAAGAGGAGGAGGCAAAGGAGGAGGTGGTGGTGGTGGTGGAGGAGGCAAGAGGAGGAGGCAGGGGTTGAAGCAGCAGGAGGCAGGAGGAGGCAGGAGGAAGAGAAGGAGGCAGGAGTAGGTGGGAGAAGCGATGGGGGGCAGGAGGAGATCCCCAGGCAAGCTAAACATGTTCTCATGTGTGGGGCCCTACCGTCGGAGTAAGTGCATTTTTTCCTGGGACTTTCGTCTTCCCCCCCGCTTCCCATATTTTCCCATACTCGCCATCGCTCGGACGTCCATTCCCTGTGTTCTTGTTCGGTTTCTTGCGTGGTTTTTTCGCCGAATGATGAAGGATGCTCCTCGATGGCCCTCGCAAAAGGAAAAATGCACACGTCCGAGCGATGCCAAGATCACCACCATCGCTCACGCCGTGCTGGCGCTATGGTCGGGAGCTCTTGCCCAGCGTGCCGCGAAGGGCCCCGGCGACACGCGAAGTCCTGCAAGGGGGGGCAGCGCCTCGCGGAGAGCTTCCTGGGGCGGGGGGCCCCAGGACACACAAATAATACATACACGCGAATCAAAAGATTCCCCCTGTTTTCCCACATCTTCTGGGTTCCTGTCTTCCCCCCCACTTCCCACAGTCTCCAATCTTTTCCTGGGAGTCGACGATCCATTGTGTCTGTGTGTTTCTTTCCCTCCCGATTCCTGGGGGGCGGGGGGGCCGGGAGGCGCCCGGGACGTGGAAGCCTGGGAGCGGGGGCGCGGCTCGCGCGTCGCGCCGAGGCGTGACGGGCCAGCACCGGCGGCGCGGCGCGCCGACGAGGAGCTCCCCGAGCACACCCCTCGCCAGCGCTCGGGCGTCTACTCCCTGTGCATTTTGTCGGTTTCGTGCGTGCCCTCGTTTCGCAGCGTGAGCAAAAATGCACACGTCCGAGCGATGCCAAGATTCCTGCCACCGCCGGCCGCAGGCGAGGCAGCGGCCGCACGCGCAGCGCGCCGTGGCTTTCCCCCCCGTCCGGCCGAGGTTGCAGGGCAGGGGCCGCGCTCCTGCGGAGCCATCGTACTCCTGGCTGAAGGAGGGCCGCCACATCACGCCATGCCAGGCCCACGGCCGGGCCCCGAGAGGAGGGCTGGGAGAAAACGGCTGGTGGAGCCTGGGGAAGTGTCGCACGAGTCACCGGGAAGAGGACACCGAAGAGTACTGCACGCGGGAAACGAGCCGGAAAGGGTGAACGGGGACTGGCGAGCAGACCTGGGAATGAGTAGTACGCCTGGCGTCAAGCTGGGAAGGGGACGGGGGGACCGACGAGAACCATCGTGTTCACGGCTGGGTTCCTGTGGGGCCCCGTCAAGTAACCGGAATCATCATTGGCATGGGACACAATCGTATTGCGTGCCAGCTTGTGCATCTCTGATCTCCCTCGGAGAAGGAACGCATGACAACGATCTCGGCCGAGTTGGGAACTTGAGTTCAGCCCACACGAGCATTCTGCGATGGTGCAGCAAATTGTTGAGACATTTGAGTTCACGCAGCTTCTGAAAGGTATACGTACCCTGCATCGCCCTCCAGCATTGCCCTTTCGAGGGTGAGGAAGTACTGAAGGTGGGGGAGGACGCGGAACCACATGACAACATAATGGAGCGTCAGGAAGTGACCCCTCCTGACTGAAAATGGTCAGGGGTGCAACCGTGAGGGAACTTCGGGGGATTTTCATGACGAGAAGAAGGCGCCTCTGAACCTTTCCTTCCTGCGGTGCACGCAGAGACGAGGACGACCTTCAAGGCAAAAAGGGGTGTGACATGTGGAAATCGGTCGCTGGGGTGGCAACTCCTGGCTATTCATGGTGCCTTACTGATGGCCCGATTGCGGGCATGACTTCCCTATCGGCTACACGCAAGAGTGACCCTAGGCAAGAGTGACCTTTGGTGCGCGACTTTCAGGGGCCGCGGGGAGGCCAAACCCGAGCGCGCAAGACGCTGGTATCGCATCGCGTTCGGTCATCTGGTCCGCACCAAAGGTCACTCAAGCGAAAGGTCACTGTTACGTGTAGTCGACCCTACGACTAGGGAGCCCACAAAGGACGTTCGCGCCCAACTATGTACATGAACACGGCCCCTTGACCCGCGAGACCGGCCGCGTGATACGAATATTCGCCCAATGCGAAATCTCGAAAACAGCGTGGATTCATGTACGTGTACGTCCTTCTTTCGCTCCTGAACGACGTCACACAAGTACAACCATCGTACCATCGGCGGTGGACAAACCTCCCTTTAGTAAACCTCCCCTTAGTGAAAACGGCCCGGGACCGAAACCGAGGGACCCGCACCCGCAGAAATGACGGCCGCGACGCCCTCTCGCGAACCGACAACGGCCAATTGCCAATTCCTTAATCGACGTGTCAGGGTAGGAGGTCTGTCCACCCCCGAAGTACAACCACTAATTACCGGGCGAGGAACGGTATAACATAAACTTTTTCGCTGTCGGGGGCGCCTGTCCCAGGGCGGCTGGACAATTTATGCCCTCACGGTGGCACCGTAGGGGTATAACCTCTCCAACCGCCCAGGGACAGGCGCCCCCGACAGCGAAACAGTTTATGTTATACCGAGGGTAGGGTCTGTCCTCCCTCGTGTGTGTCAGGGTTTGCCAATTCCTGAATCGACGTATCAGGGTAGGAGGTCTGTCCTCCCCCGAAGCACAACCACTAAGGAACTCTGTCCACCCCGAAATACAACCACTTAAAATACCCCAACAATACACCGAAAAGGTCGAGACATACTCAACAAATAATCCTCAGACTATTTTTTGGATTATTTAGGGATTATTTGTTGGGGGGGTATTTTCTATATGTCGTCCAACATCCCCCTGTAGGGGAACAGGCCCGACTTACGAATAAGGACTCCTTTCGGGCCACAGCGAGCCGCGGCCACGAGCGGGCTCCCCGGCCTGGCTCTGACGAGCGGCCCCCAAAAAAACACCGCCCCTCCTCCCGGGCCCACAGCGATTCCTACGTCAGCGTCCCGACTGCACGCGGCAAGTGTGAGAGGCCCTCCGAGAGCAGCGCAGCAAAGGAGGAGCATGGCCACGAACACGAACAGGCTCCCCGACCTGGATCTGAAGAGTGGCCACAAACAAAAACACCGCCCCGCCTCCCGGGCCCACAGCGATTCTCACTTCAGCGTCCTGACTGCACGCGGCAAGTGTGAGAGGCCCTCTACAGTCAAAACCCATGACAAGGACGCGCGGTAAGGGCGCAAGACCCCTGGAAGCCGAAGTTGGGATTTTCGGGGCGGCGGACGACGAAAACCCCAAGGACGCAAGGGTACCTGCGCTGATCAGAGTGGCGCAACAAGGAGGAGCATGGCCGAATCAGCAGGTGCGCACCGAGCCGCCCCTCCACCGTCGCGCTGTCCAATTCCGGTCCCGGGCGCCGGACCCCGCGCCCGCGCAGCTTCGCGCGCGGGCGCTGGGGTTGGCCACTGCAAGCGGGGCCCCGCGCGACCTGGGGGGACGACTAGGTGGGACAGCAAGATCACCGAAGCTTTTGAGGGAAGGGACTGCTGCCTTCTAACATGTTTGCCTTCGGTGAGCTCGCTGCCGCCAAACAAGGCGTGCCTTCAGGATCCCCTTCTGAGCCCAGCGGGCTTCCGAGCCCGCTCGGTCGGCCGCAGAACGGGCTCGAGGCCGAAACACTCAGCGGCCTCACGGGGCTGGATTCTCGCCCACCTGTCGGACTCGTGCCCGCTCGGTTGCCAGCTCGGCGGCCGAACGGCCTGAGGCGCCCGGGTGGAGTCGGAAAGGAACCTTAAGACGGCCTTCAGCGAATGCGCTGCGCGCGGCTGAGCTTCCCGAGCGCCACTGGGTCCGCACGAGCGGCACGGCGGCGCATCGAGGAAGGTGCCCCCTGGCAGTGGGGCGCCTAAGTCGGCTGCACGCGGCATGCTCCGTCCCCCCCCCCGCGTGCCCCAGCTGCTCGGCGTCGCGCGCAAGCGGGCGGCGCGTGAGGGGGGGGGCCTTCTGAGAAGCCCGGGGGGGGGCGTCTCAGACGAGGAGTCCACGCCATGAAAAAGTCATGACTTCGGGGGTCTGGGACCTCGGAGTGCCACACAGAGCGCGGCCTCAGCCGAGCCAGGCCGGGCCCGGGCCGCACCGGCCCGCCCGCGCAGAGGGCGGCGCCCGCGCCGCGAACGCGCGGCCGCGGCGCAGAGGGGCCGCGCCTGCGCCGCGAAAAGCCGGGGGCACCTTGGGCCAGGGGCACCCTTCAACCCCCCAGTGGTTGGAGGCAATCTTCTTTGGATTCTGGCAAGTCTGCTTGCATGGAGGCAGGTGGGGCGGGGTCGTGGCGAGGTCCGAAACGGAAGTCTGGACTCCACGCAAGCCGGGACGGACTCGCACGGCTTCTCGGCCCAGCGCTGCTTGAGCAGGCGGCGGCGGGGTGTGGGTGGGGAAATGCCATGCAAGTGAACTTGACTGAGCCTACGAGAGAGAGCAGCTTCAAATTTGTCCACCCCGGGCAATTTCGCCCAGTTTCAGGCCCTGGGACTCTCACATATCTATCCGGCTCAAAAATCCGGCAGAAAGATGGAATCGAGGACTCTGGTCGTGTTTTTTTCGCGATGTTGTGCTTGCCCCAGTAGCGCTTCTCTCTAGAGAGGAGTCCCACAACACAGGGGGGCGGGAAGCCTTGGGCCGCCCAGTCCGGCAGCCGTTTCGCAGGAGACTGCAGGTTGCATGTTGGGTCTGGACCGCCACGATCCCTGCCAAAGCATACACTCCTCTGAGTTTCTTAATAAGCTTCGGGGGGGCGTTCCCCCCTCCGTCAGCCCCACATCGACCCCCGTCCCCGTCGCGGCGCGACGACGAGGCGAGGTTGACCCCCGTCGGGGGGGGTCCCCCCCCCACGCTTTTTAAGAAACCCAAAGTATGGTGGACATGGCCGTGCTCTCACGACTGTCCTGTCTGCCATTTTTGCTCATATCAGGGTGCTTTGCTGGGGTAATTCGTGCCCGGCGTTTTCGCCCTGATTCGCGCCCCAAGATCATCACATATCGATCCAGCTCGAAACATGCTGCCGACATATGGGATCTATAGGGCGCCAGTCGTGTTCTTGTTCGCAAGTCTTTTCTAGCATCGTCAGATCTCAGGGCCCTCCGTCGGGTGCCAAGGGTGACCCAGCACAGGGTGCTCCCCAGGATTGCCATATTAAGATGCTAATAGTACGAATAATAATGACAGTGGTAAGAATAGTAATAATGCGAGTCAAAGAAATACAATTAATACTAATACGGATAGGAATAAGAATAAGGATCATACTACTGATGCGTAATTTAAACCAACAAACAGCCGCAGGGCTGCGGTGGCGCTGAAATCCGACGACGTGGAACAAACATTGCAGCTCCGTGGAAAGTCACGACCGGGGCCCCGGAGCCCCTAATCGGGAGCGGCCAAGAGGGGGGTGTCCAAGAGGGGGGGGTGCAAATCATGACCGGCGGCATGTGCGCAGCCCCGCGGGGGGACCTGGGACGTAATAACATAAGAAGAGGCGCCATGAAATATGGGGAAATATCATGGCCCACGCCATGATATCCACCCCCCCCTAGTCATCACCCCGCTCTTTTCCGCTCCCGAGGTGGGGCTTTTGGGGCACTCCTCGATCGAGCCGGAGCGATCCGTGAGGGCCCAGGGGCCAGACTCCGGGCGAGAGCGGCCCGCGCCCGCACAAAAGCAGGGGACGACCGGATCTCAGGGGGAGGAGGGGGAGGAGGAGGAGGAGGAGGAGGAGGAGGAGGGAGGAGGAGTGGAGGAGGAGGAGGAGGAGGAGGAGGAGGAGGAGGAGGAGGAGGAGGAGGAGGAGGAGGAGGAGGAGGAGGAGGAGGAGGAGGGAGGAGGAAGGGGGGTTCTTTCTCCGTGGGCTCTCCAGAGCACGCCCCACGAGGCCCAGAGAGGAGGGGCGAACAGCTGGGGGGACGCCGTGCGTCGGGGTCACCCCTGGCAGCCTCCACCTCCCGCTGGCGGCGCGCCGCGGGGGGTGGCGCCAGCGGGAGGAGGACTCCCGAGGGAGCAGGGGGGCCTCTGGTGGTCGGGAGCGGCCAAGAGGGGGGTGTCCAAGAGGGGGGGTGCAAATCATGACCGGCGGCATGTGCGCGGCCCAGCGGGGGGGCCAGGGACGTAATGAAATGAGAAGAGGCGCCATGAAATCTGGGGAAATATCATGGCCCCCGCCATGATATCCACCCCCCCCTAGTCATCACCCCCTCTTTTCCGCTCCCGAGGTGGGGCGGTCTCCCAAGGAGGTCCCTCCTCCCGGAGCGCGCCGGGGGGGCCCAGCGCCGATCCCAAGGAATCGGCGTGGACCTCGGAAAGGTCATGTGTGTGCAGCTTTATCATGTTCCAACCTGCTTTAGCCTGAAGCACCAGAAAGGATCTCGAGCACCAAGAAAAGTACCGAAACTGGAGGGCTTGCACGTGTCGGGCTCTGGGAGGCGACACTCGTTTGACAATGCTTCGATACTCTTCTGGGTGCTCGAAATGATTTCTGGGATGTGGTCCTTAAGTACGATGGGAGCAACATAAGTGCAGTTGTTGATCTCCGAGGCTTCTGAGAAGAAGCCCCCGGCCCTCTCAGCAGGAGCAAGGAAAGCCGACACCACCACCACCAAGGACCACCAGCGGGAGGAGCCATGGGGGGGTCCCCCTGGTGGTGTTGTCCACCCTCTCGCTCGAGACATCCCCAATCCCCAGCTCGGGGAGGGGTCGTGTACAGTCAAAACTGATATCGAGGATGCGCGATAAGGATGCAAGCCCCTTGGACGCCCAGGTCGAAGCTTTCCGAGCGGGGCTGGCTATCGAAAGGGGTTAAGGATGGACTGAGGAGGCAAGGATGCAAGGGTACCCTTGGGACGGTTACCCATCCTTCTCACACATGCGACGTCCTGATGCTTTCGATACGCGGTCCCACGAAATCTTGACCCTGTCCCCAGAACCGTTTGTTTTTCATCCTGAACCACTGGGGGCCAACCACTTTGCGCCGAGAACACCCCCGACGCCGTGCTCCTCCCACGATACGTCGGTCCCAGATTGGCCACCTACCAGACCACCCCAACCCAGCCCGAAGACCCGAACTTCGGGTGGGGAGTGTGGGGGGGGGCGGGCTTGACATGTGTTTTTTTCCATGTTCTCCCCCCCCCCCTCCCGCTGGAAATGGAGGGCTAATCAGGGCCTTCGGGTTGGGTTGGGGTGGTCTGGTGGGCGGTGGCAGATAAGACGGAGCTGGGATCGGGGCAGCATCGGACCGGGATACCTCGGGGAACTCATCAGGGCCATCGGGTTGGGTTGGGGTGGTCTGGTGGGCGGTGGCAGATACGACGGAGCTGGCATCGGGGCAGCATCGGACCGGGATACCTCGGGGAACTCTGAGAAGGCCGGCGGGCTCGGAGCATGTACCGGGCGCCGCTGCCGTTCCAGGCGCCGCGGCCACGCTCTGGGAGGCCCTGGGATAGTGCCGGAACGCTCTGGAGCGCTGTCTCCCACCTTGTAGGCCTGCCTGACCCGAGTTCTCGACGCATTCTCCGGGACGGACTTCTCGTCCTGAGTTGTTGGCTTACGCTCGCGGGGCCCGGCGAAAGCCCCCTGGAGACCGAGAACGGCAACACAAGCCGACGTGTATTTTATTCATGACGTGGGGGGGGGTCTGGGCTGGCCACATCTTTCTTTGGACTCAGGCATTTTAAAGTCAACCCGTAAAACAAGGACGCACGAGAAGGATGCGACGGCCTTGGACGGCCATGTAGACGCTTTGCGAGCGGGGCGCGGCCAGCGAAAGTGGCCAAGGATGGGCAGAATGGGAAGGATGCAAGGGCACCTTAGAAAGTCGCCAATCCTCACTATGCGGGTTGACTGCAACTTGCATGGCATTGACCCCCCCCCCTCCGCCGCATTTTCAGACAGCGCTGGGCGGCCGAGACGGCGTGCGAGACAAGTCCCGGCTTGCGTGGAGTCCAAATTTCCTCTCGTACCTCGCCACGACCCCACCCCAACCGCCTCCATGCAAGCAACTTGCCAGAGTCGAAAGGAAACGGAAAAACTTGCATGGCATTCCCCCCCCTCCGCCGCCCCTTCAGGCAGCGCTGGGCCGAGAAGGCGTGCAAGTGAGCCCCGACTTGCGCGTGCAGCCCAGACTCCCTTCGGGCCTCTCCTCGCCCTCCCTAGACAGGCGCGCTTCACTACTCACAAGATATAGCTACTCGCAAACGGCCTGGATGCGTTGCTGGGGATTTGCGAGCCAGTACATTGAGGAAGACATCGATTTTGCGGACGTTTGCGAGTAGGCCCTTTGCGAGTCGTGGAACGCGCTCGGCGACTCCCACCCCTCCCGCGCAACTAAACTTGCCCGAATCTGGAAACAAGGGCGCCCAACTTCGCGCTTCGCGCTCCGCGAAGCGCGAATAACTTCGCGCTCGCGCGCCGCCCCGCCGAAGGGAGAAAAGGAGGACGAGGAGGAGGGGGAGAAGGAACGAGGACCGCGAAGCGCGAACAACTTCGCGCCCTCGTGGGAGCTCTTGGGAACGGAGAGCGGTCTCGGGTCCCGGGGGGCCCAGCGGGGGCCCCCCCGAGGCCGCAGGCAGCAGCATGCGACCCCAGAGCACCCCCCCTGTCCGCGTCCTGCCCACGAGCACGACGGGGGCCCGACCACAAGCAACCTTCCACGAGAAACCGCACCCTGAGACCCCAGTGGACGTCCCTTGACTTTTGCTGTGGGCGCGTCAGGGCTGCCGCACCCCAACCACTTCGAAGCCCAAGACATCCAGGGCACCCTGGAGGCGAGCAGGGTGTCTCTCGGCAGGGGCCTCCAAGATTCCCTCACGCTGCCCCCCCCCCCTCGGCAGCTCGCACTGGCGGAGACTTCTCTGCGCACCTCTCGTGGCGGAGACTTCTCTGCGCCCGAGGCCCCCCCCCTCGCGCGTTCCGCCTCCACGGCCGCCCTCCTCTGTCTCCTCGTTGCCCACAGTAGGAACTCGACCACGAGAAGCCTTCCACCCACCAGGACCCCAACCCTGAGACCCCAGGACGTCTATTGACTTCGGGTGTGGGAGCGTCAGGCTTTCTTCCCACAGGAAAGCATCGAACCCCACGAGGCAAGCATGGTGTTTCTTGGCGTGGGTTCCCACTGTAGCGTGCTCCAGTCTTGGCGCGCTCTGCTGGCTCTCCAAACGCGCTGGCGAGCGCCCACGGTGCGGACCCCCATCCCCCCCCAAAAAGTGTTCCACGACGCGAGGGGGCCTGGGTGGACGGTTTCCCCCAGGGCCGTAGGCGACCCGAGGAGGGGAGGGCGAGGAGGGAAAGAAGGATGTGGAGGAGGAGGAGGAGGAGGAGGAGGAGGAGGAGGAGGAGGAGGAGGACGGATCGCCTAAGCCCTTCAGAGAAACCTTCGTCCTGAGGGGGCCTGAGCCTGCCGTTGGGGGGGCCTGAGCCTGCCGTTGGGGGGCCCTCGACGGAATGTGTTCCACGAAGCGAGGGGGCCTGAGCCTGCCGTTGGGCTGGGGTGCGCTGTGGATGCGCCCCCCCTGGAGATGTCTCTCTGGATTGCTGTCATTTCCAATGGCGGTCGTCACAGTACGCGCGCGAGCACCAGCATGTGTGTATGGCGATTTCTCTTCACCGCCAGCGACGCAAAAAAAAGGTGTGTGTGTGTGTGTGTGTGTGTGTGTGTGTGTGTGTGCGTGCGTGCGTGCGTGCGTGCGTGCGTGCGTGCGTGCGTGCGTGCGTGCGTGCGTGCGTGCGTGCGTGCGTGCGTGCGTGTGTGCGTGCGTGCGTGTGCGTGCGTGCGTGCGTGCGTGCGTGCGTGCGTGCGTGCGTGCGTGCGTGCGTGCGTGCGCGTGTGCGCGCGCGCGGGCGGGCGGGCGTGTGTGTGTGTGCGTGTGTGTGTGTGTGTGTGTGTGTGGTGCGTGTGTGTGCGTGTGTGTGGTGTGTGTTGTGTGTGTGTGTGTGTGTGTTTGTGTGTGTGTGTGTGTGTGTGCGTGTGTGTGTGTGTGTGTGTGTGTGGTGTGTGTATGTGTGTGGTGTGTGTGTGTGTGTGTGGGGGGGGGGGGGAGAGGGGGGGGGTCCAGCCCCCCTGGCGTACGATCGTTGCCAATCTCCAGGGGTGGGTGGGGAGGGCCTGTCCTGGTCTGAGGACCGTTACGTGCCGGAGGATAACAAACAAAAACAACCTCCTGCCTGCCAGACAAGGCGGGCGCCAGCCGCGGGCCGCGGGGCTACTCTCGCGCGGGGCGCAGCGAGGCCACCCAGTCCAGTGCGTCCTCGTCGGCCAGCGCCTCCCAGAGGCCATGAGCTCCGGCGTCGCACCCAGCGCCTCTCGGGACGCGCGCCCCCTGTGCGCAAACGCAGACTTAGATCGACTCAGATCGTACCGTTCCGTCGGCATGCAAGACAATTCCATGGGCCTTGGGCGAGTCATCACACCCAAAAGGACCGCAGCAGGCAGCGGGTTGAGGGATATACGACGAGAAGGTGTAATGCAGGGTCGCATGCTAGGGCGCAGAGTATGCGTGCCGAGGTCCGCGAGGGGGTGACGGAGGTGATAACAATCAGCAGGATGACGATCATACAAACCTTGCGCAGAGAAAATAAGGACGCGCTCCTGCCCCTCTTCCCTGCTCCTCCTCCATCCTCCCCTCTTCTCCTCAGCCCTGAGATCCCGCCGTCGCTTTTTGGCATCACTGGGCGACTCCGCCTCCCGTCGGCGCCATGGGACCCTCACGGCTCGATCGGGCTGGCTTGACGGTGCTTCAGTGTTCGCCTCGTATTGAGGGACGCAAGAACGCCCCTACCCTGGGCTACGAGTGCGTGGTCTGTAAGCCTCCTGGGAGCTCCCCAAGGCCAGAGAGCCGCCAGGACGCCGCGCGACCCGCGCGATATGCAGGATTCACCCTGTCAGCCCACAGGAGGTTCAGCGCACAGCGCCTCGTAAAACAGGGTAGGGGCGTTGTTTTCTGCCCTTGATGATAGTCGTGCTTCGCTACAAGGGCCAAAAGAGGACAACCAAACAATCCCACGGGGGAGATGGGCAACAGAGGACAAAAGAGAGGCAAAAGAGGACAACCAAAAGGAGGCAAAAGAGGGGCAAAAGAGGACAACCAAAGAAAGGGGCACAAGAGGCAAAAAGAGGACGACCAAATAAAAGGGGAAAAAGAGGACAACCAAAGAGGGGCAAAAGAGGACAACCACACAATCCCACGGGGGAGATGGGGCACCCTGGGCCGCCCGGCCTGGCCGGCCGCCTCGCGCGAGGCCATCTCTCGCAGTGTCTTCCAAAAGGTCGTGCCCTCGCCTCGATGCGGGCTACACACTTTTCGGGTCTGGGCGGCCACGATCGCTCTGCAGACGAAGAACACGAGGGTGCACCTCTGGCCATCGCTCGGACGCCCATTCCCTGGGTGTTTTTTTCGGTTTCGTGCGTGGCTTTTTCGCCAGATGATCAAGGATGCTCCTCGATGGTCCTCGCCGAAGGAAAATGCACACGTCCGAGCGATGCCAGGACCTGGCCGTGCGCTCACTCCTGTCCTCGCCTGCCAGCGTTCTCGGGGGTTCCTGGGAGTTCGTGGGAGTGCACGCTGTCGCTCGCTCGCCGACCTCCTGCTTCTCAACCCAGGGGGCCCCCAGGAGGCCCCCAAGAGGCTCCCGGGAGGCCCCGAGAGGGGCGGAGGGAAGAAGAGGAAGACAGGACGACGATGACGAAGACGAGGTGATTCACATCGACACGACGCGGAAGAGCGTGTCTCATGTTGCGGCCATCTCCAGGCTAATGTTAGGTCGGGCGTGTCCCCCTACAGGCGGAATATGGACGACAAATTAAAACAATACCCTAAAAATACCCCCAAATATTCAAACATGGTCACAAAGTCGTCCCCAGACGATGTTTGGACTATTTTTGAATATTCCCCCTGTAGAGGGACAGGTCCGACTTAAGGTTAATGGCGAAACATGTTGTGTGGCACGGCATGTCACGGCCTTCTGGCCGACAATTGAAGATTCGCCACCGAGAATACTGCTCTGGCACGGTGGCAAGACTTGAAGCAAACAGCTTGATACCAACGCCGAGTCGTCGGAAGGATAATCACATTCACTAATGTGATATGGCGCTCGGAAAATGCACTGGAAATCTTTCGCAGGTCATGTCGAATGTACTTGCGCGTGGGAGAGTGTCTCTATGTGGGCACGTACGTGTGCGTGAATGCGTGCGCGCGTACGGATGTGCGAATATACGCAACTGTTCGCCTTCCGTCTTCAACCGGACAACTCGTCAACAAAAGATGCTGCGCCCGCTCGGACTGCGACGGCCTGCAGCACTGGCATTGCGCCATATGAACCCCTTCGCGATCAGGTATAACGAGAGCGGCGCGTGGACCGGGAAAGTCAGCTTGTAGAAGACCCGTCGGGCCCTCTGGGGGTCATGGGCGTACGAGGTGGCTCGCCCCCGCCCACGGTTCCCACTAACGAAGGATCGATTATTGGCATGTGAGGGTGCGGGGGCCACGGTACGGCAGGTTCGCGTCGTGTCGACCAGCGGCGACATCAGCGCGGGCGTTTAAGGTTGAACGCCGCCTGTAGCCCAGAATCGGCCCATCCTTGAACGATCCGGTCTTCTTGACAGGGTCGATCGTTCAAGCTTGAAGGATCCCCGCGGTGTCAGGAACCAACGCCGGGGTCGACACGACGCGAACCTGCCGTATGTGCGGTGTGCTCGGGACCCGTGGCGTCAGCCTGACGGATCATGCCCTCGGCCACGCCCATGGCGAGACCCTTGGGGTTGCTCCCCTGCCCCAGCGCTCGGCTCAGGAACGACCAGAGCGGGCTCTGCTCGGCGGACGTCCGGAGCTTGTCGGAGAGATACCTGGGGACAAGGGGACCGCCGAGGCAAGCGGAGAAGATGCCTGAATCAACCGACTCGGGGGCAAAAACTGGAGATCATCGGGATTGGCGGCCGCACATGTGCCAGAGGCTGCTGCAAAGCAAGCTTACCATAGTCCAACAGAGGCTGCTGCAAAGCAAGCCTGCCATAGTCCATCTCATGCACGCCAGGTGGAACAGACGCAGTTCGGCGGAGGCGAACATCTCAAAGCGTGTGGGAGACAAGCCAGCGGCTCCACTGAGGCACATGACGATCAGGCTCAGGCAGATAATCACGCCGAGGGAAGGCTGGGCTCACGCAAAACACATGGGCGCAGAGGCAAACAAGACACGATTCGCGCCTGTCCAACGCCAAATATGCGGAAGAACCACCTGCAACCGTGAAAGCACACCTGCACCATGCCGAGCACTAACGACGATAACTCTCTGCGGCGCAGTGCTGATGTCAAGCCAGAGGCAGGCCTAGAGCCAACGCCAGGTCCCAGCGTGCAGTCGGTGTCCGCTAGTTTTAGGTCGGGCATGTCCTCCTACAGGCGGATTTTGGACGACAAGTAACAAAGAGTCAAACAACATTCAAACATAGCCAGAAAGAGCACGAACAGTCGTCACCATACGACTTTGGGACCATCCTTGAATACTCCTCCTGTAGAGGGACATGCCCGACTTGACGCTAGTTGGAGCAGGGCGACTTGAGACAGCGCCAGTTCGTAGTCGGCTCCAGACCCCTCCGAGGGTCCAAACGTACCAATTTTCCAGGGGAGCGAAGAATGACATAAACAGAACATCTCGGAGGTCCGCGCGGAATTCTCGGATCGGCGCTGGACTCCCCTCCCTGGCGCGCGGAGCGCGCCAGGGGCGGCGCCGGAGGCGCCTCCAGGGGGGTCCAGTGGGCGCCATCTCTCGGACGCCCATTTCCCATGCGTTTTTCGGCTTCGTGCGCGTATTTCTTCGCAAGATGACACCAAAAGACTCCTCGATGGCCCTCGCCGACAAAAAAGGCACACGCCCGAGCGATGCCAGGGGCGCTGGGGACGGTGTCGAGCCCGGTCGCCCAGGAGCTGGCGCAGGAGCTGTCCGGCCCAGCGTGCCGCGTCTGTGCCTCCCCCCCCTCCCCCTCCTCCTCCTCCTCCTCCTCCTCCTCCTCTTCCTCCTCGTCCTCCTCCTCCTCTTCTTCCTCCACCTCCTCCTCCCCCTCCTCCTCCTCTTCCTCCTCCTCCTCCTCCTCTTCTTCCTCCTCCTCCTCCTCTTCCTCCTCCTCCTTGCGATCCTGGCGTTTCTCCCTCGAATGCGGCCTCTGGGGGTCCGTTCTCGGACCCCGGGACCATCAAACCCTGACCCAGGACTCAGAACTAGCCCCGGGGAAGCGGTCGGGACCTTTGGGGCTGCGGATTGAAGCAATCATACCGTCGGATGTCTGGTTTTCCTCTCCAGACCGACCCGAAGTACGGGGTTCTTGTTATTACTCTGACGCCTCCGCCTGCTCACTCGCTCTCTCCCGCCTCCTCCTTTCCTCATTCTCACGCAGGCCCCTTCGTGCCCAGACTCGCTGAGTCAGACTCACTCACACTTGGACTCGCTCACACACACACACACTCACTCACATTCAGACTCACTAGCACTCATATCACTCATACTCAGATTCAGAGCCACATGATCACCGCGATGGCACTTGGGCGCCTGAAGAGAGGGGTCAACAAGGGATGTCTCACGAGCTCGTTCGTGCCCAAATTGCTGGGACGTCTGGGGTAGAAGGGCCGCTTTGGAAGCGTAGACGTGCCTCTGCTCGGAGCCCCATGAGCGTCGCGATATAGCAGGAATAGTGCTTGGGCATCCCAAGAGAGGGTTGACCAAGAATGCTTCACAAACCTGGCGATGCCCAACATTGTTGGGACTTCTCGCATAGCATAGCCGTGTTGGGGGGTCGATGTGTCTCTTTCTTCTGGCCATCGCTCGGACGTACATTCCCTGTGTTTTTTGGTTTCGTGCGTGTTTTTCTTCGCCAGATGATCAAGGATGCTCCTCGATGGTCCTCGCCGAAGGAAAAATGCACACGCCCGAGCGATGCCAGGCCAATGACCATCGCGATGCAGCAGGCGTGGCACCTGGGCAACCCACGAGGGGGCCGACCAGGGTGTCACTACGGGCCCTCTCGTGCCCCTCGCCATCGCTCGGACGTCCATTCCCCGTACATTGTTCGATGTCGCACGTGTTTTCTTCGCTAAATGATCAAAGATGCTCCTCGATGGTCCTCGCCGAGAAAAAATGCACACGTCCGAGCGATGCCAAGTGCCCACATTGCTGGGGCCTCTGGAATATAATTGCCGCCTTCGACGGGTAGGCGCGCCTCTCAGAGCCCGGTGACCCTCGCGACACAGCAGGCACAGCATGTGAACCACCCGAGGGGAGGCCGGCAGGGGTAGTATCATGAGCCCGTTCGTGTCCAGATTGCCAGGGCCTCTCAGACAGAATCGCCGTTTTTGGTGGGGTAGGCGCCTTCTTTTCGGAGCCTCACGGTCCTCGCGATGCAGCAGGCACGGCGCAAGGGGGGGCCGAGCAGGGTGTTATCACGGGCCAGTCGTGTCCAAATTGCCACGGCCTCTCCAACAGGATTGCCACTCTGGGGGGAGGGTATACACCCTGCGAAATGCTTAAGAAATCATGGGTTAAGAAATTCATAGTCTCAGAATTTGAATAAAAAACCAAACTTTCTATCGAATTCATAGGATTTACATTGGAACATTAAGAACAATCGAGACTCTGGTCGAAAACTTAAGTTTTCTTACGCATCGCCTAGGGTGTATGCGCGCCTGTTCTCGGAGCCTCGTGGATCTCGCGATGCGGCGTGCCCGGGACTTGGACTACCCACGGGGGGCGCGACCCGGGCGTGATCACTGGCCCGTTCGTGTCCAAATTGCTGGGGCCTCTCCGATCGAGTGGCAGTCTTTTGTTGTCGTTGTTGTTGCTGCTGTTGTTGTTGTTGGTGGTGTTGTTGTTGTTGCTGCTGCTGCTGTTCTTGTTGTTGTTGTTGTTGTGGTTGTGGTTGTGGTTGTGGTTGTGGTTGTGGTTGTGGTTGTGGTTGTGGTTGCGGTTGTGGTTGTGGTTGTGGTTGTTGTTGTTGTTGTTGTTGTTGTTGTTGTTGTTGTTGTTGTTGTTGTTGTTGTTGTTGTTGTTTGGGGGGGAAGGCGCGTCTGTTCTCGAAGCCCCATGGTCCTCGCGATGAGCAGGCTTGGCGCTTTGGCGCCCCAAGGGAGGGAACCGACCAGGGCGTTATCACGGGTCCGTTCGTACCCACACTGTCGAGACCTATCAGGTATATTTGCCGATCGGGGAAAGGGGAAATAATTCTGCCCAAGGGCCCGCAAGGGGAAGGTGCAAAACAAGGATGTGCACACGTGATGGGCAACTCCGCGTCGAACAGCTTCGTCGCAGCATGAGCCATCCGCCAAGCGAAACGTACTCTGCGCTCGCGAAGCGCTGAGCTGAGAATCAGCGATGACCTCCGAGCACCCTCGAGCCTAAACTCTCTTAGCTCCTCGCTGCGCGGTGGCGGCCCTCAAGCAGCAGGGACGTCCCGGATCGGCGGCACAGGCCGGAGGCCATTCGAAAACTGCGCTCGCGAGTCAGATTATGTACTCCAGATTTCGTAATAAAGGGAGGGGGGTCTCATTTCGGGGGGGGTCTTTTCCAAGCTATCTTGGAGGGCCTGGGGGGGTCTGGGGACGATGTTTCGGAGGGTTCTCCCACGGGGGGGGTCTGGAATGGCTTGTCTTGGAGGGTCCAGACCCCCTCCCTTTTATTACAAAGTCTGGAGTAAGTTCTGCATGAGCTCCTGGCGGAGTTTCACCCAACAGCCACTCCCAACACCTTCTCGTTTCGACAAGGCGCTTCCCGTCAGCCGCCGCCGTGCCAGCGGCACGCAGGGGCGTGTTAGAACATGCTTGTCTGTTGTCTGCCAGGGCTCCTGCAGCTCTCCAAGGCCCACCGCCCCCCCACACGCCCCCCCAAAGGCCATCAAGAGCCGGGGAGACGTCAGACTCGTGTACGGGGGACTCGGGTTGGCCTGACGGGGGTATCATAAAAATGACGAGGCACAATCTGAAATTTGACGAGCTCCAGCTGCAACCGTCCCACGGAAATCGGACCGTCAAAATCTGGGACGCGTTGGTCTAAACGCGTCGGCAAACCCGAGTTCTGGCTTACTCGAGTCTCACGCTTGCCTGGGAAAACGGAAGAGGGGGAGGAGCAGGAATCGGGAGGAAGGGAGCGGAGCACGAGGCTGCGGACGAGGCGGGGGCGCCGAAGACCCGCGCCGGCTCAGGCAGGGCGCCTGGACTGGCACGGGCCTTTAAAAACTCCACCTCCCCTCTGCTGGCGCTGCTGCGCCGGCACGGCGGTGGGAGGAGGAGGAGGAGGAGGAGGAGGAGGAGGAGGAGGAGGAGGAGGAGGAGGAGGAGGAGGAGGAGGCTTGCCGCAGGCGGCTCGGCACACTCTTCGGCGCTGGCGGCGCTCGGAGGGGCCGAGGCGGGGGCAGGCGAGGGTGTCCGGCCCCTCGGGGGCGCCCGAGGGCCGAGACCGCCACAGCAGAGCGGCGCCCTCGGCCGGGCTCTCTGGCTGTGGGGCCAGGGCGCGCCGAATGCAGGCGCGGGGCCTTGTGAGGGGAGGCCACGCTGAGAAATGATCGGCCGAAACATGGAGGGAAACGGGGCTCCGGGCTGGACGAACGCAGAGGATAACACTTTTTTGATCCGCGGGTCGAGAGCGAGCCTCTTCCGGTCGAAGCTAAGCGGGCCGCGTACAGCTTTGATTAACAGAGGAAGGACAATAGAAGGAGGGGCCTCACGTCAAGGCCAAGAGAGGGCAAAGCCCTGGAATCAGGCGGTGCCGAAGGCGGAGTGCATGCAAAGGAACGCCTTGCACAAGAACCCGGGGGCGAAGCACCGGAAAAGCAAAATGCTGTGATGGTGGGGGCTGGAAGAACGCAGAGGATAGCAAACATAGTCTGGAGGTATCCGCGCGGGTTTTCGGGGTGGCGCTGGAGCCCCCCCCCGGGGCCCCGGGGGCGCCTCCGGCGCTGCCCGCGGCGCGCCCCGCGCGCCAGGGAGGGGCACGCTCCGCCGCCCCGAGGAGAGCTCCGCGCGGACCTTGGAAGGTTCACATCCTCCAAACAGTGCGTGCACGTAGGGGTTCGAGGAGGAGGAGGAGGAAGGGGGTTTTTGGGGAGGGGGTCTTCCAGAGAGGGCGCGAAGCCCCGGGGGACCCCTCCCGAGAAAACCCGCGCCCCAAACCCCCTTCGGAGCCCTCCGGGCCAAGGGGGGGGAAAGGGGAGCTGGGCAGGGGCGTGCCGCAAAAAAAAAAGAGTTCGAGGTGTCACTCGGGGTTTCTCGCCCGTCGACCCCGCGGGTGGGCGCCCGTCGGCGCCGGGTGGGCGCATCGCGTTGGGTGGGCCAGCCGAGGTTTTAGACTGGTGCAGGAGAAATGAAAACACAGAAACATAAACTTTTGGCGCTCCGCGTAGATTTCACGGATTCGCGCCGGACCCCCCTCCCTGGCGCGCGGAGCGCGCCGGGGGCGGCGCTGGAGGCGCCGCCAGGGGGCCAAGGCGCGGTTCCAAGAAATCCGCGCGGAGCGCCACAAGTTTATGTTCATGTGTTATGTTCTTCGTCGACTGGTGCTAGCCCGTGGGCGCCTTGTGGGCGCCTCGAGCGCTGGGCGGGTCAGCCCGGTTTTCGCCTGATGCCGGCCCCGTGGGCGCCTCGTGCGCTGGGTGGGTCTCGCCTGGCGCCCGCACGTGGGCTCCCATGGGCGCCTCGTGCGCTGGGCGGCCGCGCACCTTGCACCACCAGTTGATACCGCATAGCTTACACCACACAGTTTACACCACATAGCTTGCACCACACATTTGTTTGTTTGTTTGTTTGTTTGTTTGTTTGTTTGTATGTATGCATGCATGCATGCATGCATGCATGCATGCATGTATGTATGTACGCACGCACGTACGTACGTACGTACGTACGTAAGTACGTACGTACGTACGTACGTACGTATGTATGTATGCATGCATGCATGCATGCATGCATGCATGCATGTATGTGTATCTAAAAATGTATGTCACCGTCCAGCTTACACCTGTACGACGCAGCTTACACCACATAACTTGCACCACCGTGTTTGCACCACATAGCTTGCTCCACACCGCTTGCACCACATAGTCTATTCTTCCACCAGTGCAAATATCCACTGTGTGTGGCCCGCGCTGGCAGACATGCTTATCCAGTTGTTGTTGCCCTCTGGGTGCCAGTACT